TCCCCTCTGTGTAAAGAGATTCTGAAAGTTTCAGGAAAAAAGATTAGCTCTCTCATCATCTGAATCTCCCCCTAGAGCACCATTGTGTTCCTTGTAACCAAATCTCTCTAAGAGGGGCGTGGGGAGGGGCTCCTTATTTTCATCTAAAGTAACAGACAGAGAATCAGCACTTTGGAAACAGGGCTGAAACAGAGGGGATTATGGGTAATGCTGCAATGATCTGTTTGGTGTTTCAGCCAATCAGAGACAGGTTCTGTATATATCTGAGACCTGTGATATATTGATGAAAAACAGTATGATAGGGGACCTTTAAAGTTGTTGATGGATCTAATATGGAGGACACTTTGTTTACCTGAGCCGTTGTGAGGAACCCAGATGTTGAGGTACAGACAGTCCGTGCTACCTGTGGTCGTGTTAAAGGCGACGCTCACCTGGAGGCAAATGTCCTTAAACGCAGTGGCATCCAGAACATCTGATGACACACATTTTTATGTTGTATTTTTGTATTTTATTATATACGTTGCATTGTTGGAGGAGCTCAGGTAAGAAGAATTGCATTGCCATATATATCTGTAGCTTTGTGCATATCACAATAAAACCTTTTAAATTTGAAGTGAATTTGAATATTATCTCAGTCGGTCTACTCACCACCCCAGCCTGGGTGAGGTTTTGGTTTCATGAAAGTTTCAGGGACATCAGCAAAGGGAATCCCCCTGAAGACATCCATGTGGCGGCCGGATGCCAGAGGGATGTTCTCTCCCCGAACCAAACCTTCCTCTGTTTTCACCACCCCGAGCTACAGCAAGAAAACACACGATGTTGCAGCCATTAGAATGGTTTATATGTTTTGTTATTTGAACACTAGATGGCGTAATGGGGCAACAGCATATAACTGGTCTCCTGGCACAGGTGTATTGATTGTAGAGCAATAGTTTTTTGACCGTGTCTGTGAACACGCTGTTTTTCTTTGGAAATAAAAGATATTGAAAGCTAAACTTCGTCGTACATGGAGATTGCACGCATCCAATTAGTTAAAGGTGGGTGGGTAGGTGATTCACTTCAGAAACACTTTTTGTTATATTCCATGGAATGCTCTTAACATCCCGATAGCATTGAATACATGAAATGCTTTGACAATAAATACGTCAATGAAAACTATTGTTGCTTTTACTTAAGTGAAGCATCTGACTTCACCACTGACTTGTAGAGATAGGCCTACTGAACAGAAGTTAAACCGAGTTATTAGAAAACATTTTTGTGACACTTACAGAGATCGCAGAGACCGTCTCCAGAAACACAGCGATGGCCACCAGACTCTTCATCTTCATCATGTCGACGGTGAGTGAGTTGCTTTCGGATGTCTACCGGAATTTTAAGGCAGAACCACGCCCCCGTACTCCACGCTGACCAGTGGGAGGGACATTTAAACAGCTGTGTCAACAACACTTTCACTATTACTATATCTGGATACCCTTCAACATTTAAAAAACATACATATTACTCAAACAAAACTATTTCCTTGACCCTTGCCTTGATGTGGGTGTATGTGTGTCCACCTACGCTCCTGAATCTGCCAGCATACAAGTGTCTTTGATTTAGTAGTAAGGCGGTGGCGTGTGGCGCAGAGGACTAGTGCGTTGGTGTTCAGGGGAGCACAGGTTCAAACTCCACTGCAGTCAGCATGTCGTTGTGTCCCTGAGACACTTCACCCCAAATTGCTCCTGTGGGGATTGCCCACAGTATTGAGTATGTAAGTTGCTTTGGATAAAAGCGTCTAACAAGTAACATGTAATGTAATAGAAAATATTTGTCTGGAAAACCTGTGGTTCTTCTTGGTTTCTTACTTTTTAAGGGTTACTTTTTAAGGGTCATTGTTCTTTCTTAGAACCAAGGCGTACATGCAGGGGCGGACTGGCCATCGGGACGTTCGGGAGGAATCCCGATGGGCCGGTACTGAAGTGGGCCGGTCGGACTATGTGGGCCGGCCGGTAACCGGAAGGGCTCGACATTAAATGGCCCGCTGGCCCGGAAGCACTATTTAGACACCCCGGGCCAGCATAACGTACTTTGCCCGCTCGGGCCACTAAAAATATTGCTTTAAAAAAATGGTCCTGTGGTATTGGTTTTTTGACTAGCAATTTTGTTAAATTGTTTCGTTTATCAACGCTACAACATAGCGTTTTGTGAATCGGTTGTCGTTGTTGGGTGAAAAGCAAACAGCTGTTTGCTGGGGAGCGCAGCGCGAGCTATATGGCGCTGAGCGCGAGCAGGCTCCCCTGAGCGCGCTCCTTCACTACAGACTATTGCGCCACCTAACCATTCGCCAAAATGTTTTTAATACCAGCGGTAACCGGCCAAGTGCCGGGCAAAAAACAATCATCAAATAAAAGAAAGTAACCGGAGGAGTTAAAGGAGAGTGACAGGGAGCATGAGAAGAAGAGCGAGAGAAAGTTTCGGCCAGCTAGATCGATGGAGTTGGCTTCTAGTGGTGCAGTGACGCGTCCTAAAACCCTTTAATAATCTATCGATTAGATTTATGATTCGAAAATTATAAAAGTAGGGTAGACATGTGGAGATTATCCGGCTGAACAAAACATGCATTTATCAAACAGGTTTGTTTTCCACAGACCTTATTTCCAGCTATTTTCCAAAACCCTATGGAGAAATCCCATTACTTTTTGTCGAGGGAACCAGCAGCTTACTTCCTGGTTTTAGGACGCGTCACTGCACCTCTCAATATGATGCCAAACAAGGTCTTCTGTCGGCTCTGTACATCAATGCCGACCTATGCTGACGACAAGGAAGTGAAGAGTAGACAATATAAAGGTATTGGCTTTAG